AGTCATCCATATAAAAATCATCTTTAATTGTATTTTTAATAAGAATGTCTCCATTATAGTCTTCAGCAATTTGTTGTAATGTGCGAACTGCTAAAAATGGGGCCGAAGCAGTTCCATAAGTAACTGTGGTTAATTTAAATTCCTCAATTCTGTCTGTTGGATTTTCTCTCCAAAGTATGCGTTGATAATCTGTAATGAACCTACTTTTTCGTAGCCGGGGTAGTTCTCAGCCTAGTCCAAGGTCTTACAAGAAAATTTATATTCGCGGGGACCCAGCGTTCAACTAATGTAATTTCCACCTTCGTGAAGTAAGATGCCGTACAACAAATTAATTATTTTAGAATTCAAGTTTTTTTCTTTATTGAACAATTTTTAATATACGTATAACAATAAATGTATTTTAAAGGAAAAACAAATTATCAAATAATATCTTTACAAATACTCGTAGATAATAATAAGCAAATAATATTTAACTGTTTTCAATTTAAAAAAAAAAAAACAAAATTAATTAATTATATTTTAAGTTTAAAGTTTTATAAATGCAATTTCGTGTTCACTTAAATACAACAAAATTTATAAAAAATTCATAAAATATTTTCAAATAAAAATATAACGGAAGAAGAATTTCTATTAAGCGTAGTCGTGTGAAGATTACTTTGGTATTTTACTTAGAATTTTATGTAATATTTTTTTTTACATTCTTTAAATGTGGGTTTAGTAATTAAATTCTTAATGTTACACTTTATAATTAATTAAGATTATGTTTGCATATAACAGAATACATTTTTTTTTTACAAATATCTTGTTTTCAGTTGTTTAAGTTCAATTTTACAAAGATACATTTTTTCCATAGATTCTATTTTATAAGAACTAATAATTCATGAGCTTGTTGAGTTTAGAAAGTTTATACTCCTATGCGCTTAACTTGAAGCCTTTACGATTGTGATTGCATTGTTGTTACTTTTCTCATTTCCATTTAAATGAATAAAATTTGTAGATATTCAATTATACAATTTGGAATTTGTTAATTTTTAAGCGATTCGTTCGATTTAAATAAAATAACTTGTAAATTCGGGCTTATACATTGAAGTTACTTACGCGAAAACCTGCACTGTACTTTATATATAAGTCTTACCCTCTCTGGTACATCAGGGCGTAATATTCCACTGCTTACAACGTCCAGCGATGATTATAAAGAAACACCGATCAATTTATGCTTTGCCACGTATCGGGGAGAGAGACACCCAAGCCGCGCCACGTCTTTTGCTTGTGGTGTCAACACGTTTATACGTACGAACTAGCACGAATACAAAATCTGTTAAAGCCGTCAATTATTTCTTTTGTACTGTGTCTATTAACAATATTATCCCGCTTCGCGCCGTGTCGATAAACTATTTCAATTTTTGTTCCCTTATATATTACAAAAAAAATTACACAATTTTGATAATTTTATTTCAACTTGTTAATTTTATATTAAAATAGTTTTAATTTTTATATAAAAAAAAATCACTTAAGCGCTTTTTCTCTGTTTTATTAACACAAATCCGCAACTTGTAGCAGTATTTGAATCTTGTTAATTTTTCTTTATATTAAAATTGTAAAATCTTGTTTCTATTTAAATCGTTAATTTTAATATTAAAATAGTTTTAATTGTTATATAAAAAAAAAATCACTTAAGCGCTTTGTCTCTGATCTATTAACACAAACCCGCTACTTGCAATGCAAAGAAAAACTTTTTATTTATTTAAAAAAAAAAACCAGGTAATTAACGTCACGGGTACGATGCGTTGCGTTCAACATAAACACGAGCCAAGAGACAGAAACTCCTCCGCCTGCGCCTTTTATTCTCCTTTTTTTCTAACTGCGTCGAGCGGGCTTTTTCGCTAGCCGTTGTTCGGTCAATGCCCTCAACATTTCCCCTTATCAGGTGTTCCGTTGTTGACTTCTGCAAGCTTTAAACTATACTCGCAGCTTTTTCCTTATTATCCGCTGCAATTTTTGGCGATCAACCGAAATGCACAAAACAAATTAAAAAATGGCATTTCTCATTTTTTTTCTATTTTTGTTTTGATCATGCTTTGTTTTTTTTTTTGCCTTTTAATACAATGTGTTTCATGCGGTTCGCGAAAAGTAATTTAATTTTATTTTAATTAATATTGTTCGAATTATATTAATTAAAATAAATATTCACAAGGGTATTTCAAGGTATGTATAGCGAGAGGTTATTGCTTTGTTGGAACCAATTGTTAAATTTAATTCTGTAAATTTTGTTCGTCAAGGTGCATCCATTGCATCGGCAATGATAGTAATGAAGTATACTGACCAAACTTTACCAAAAGTAACTTACTTTATGCAATTATAAGCAGAAGTTATAAGCAACAAACATGAAGATGTACTGGCAAAATATGGTGCTATATCAGCTCAAGGTATTCTGGATATTGGAGCTTTGTTGTTGGGCTGCGGAACCCACGATGTTGTAACAATTAAATTGCCAAAAATTTTAATCGTTACAAATCTTGATGCTCTTCTGCAATTTTTATTTGTCTATACATTTTTTCCACATCTGCTATCACCACGAATTTCCATAACCTCCATTTTATTATTATGTCAAATATGTCTTTTTGTAATTGCGGTCCGGTCATCATGATATTATTAAGACTATTTCCATTTGTTGTTTTAGCGGACGCATCAAAAACTACACGTAGTTTCGTTGTTGAACTTGCTTCTCTGATTACAGCCTGATGAGGCATATAGTACAACCCTTCATTTTCATTTTCTGCTTTGACCATATGACCTAAACGTTCGTATTCGTGCATAAACTCTATGTATTCTGACTTAATTTCTTTCTTCATTTTCTTCTCTAGGTTGATTAGTCTTGCTACTGCTTGTTTTCTAGAATTCCCTAAAGACAATTCTTCTTTAAATGGAATTTGCACCATGTATCTACCGTCTGTATCTCTTGTTGTAGTTGTTTTATATAGTTCTTGACATTTTTCATCTTCTTGTAAGTTTGTGTTGTTTTCATCGTCTATTTCCCAAAATCGCTCTAAATTTAAAGCTGATATTGCTTGATTTTGTGTTTTGTTTGTTTGTAGCTGTCCGGATATTATCCACCCAAATATAGTTTCTTGTCCGACTACATCGTTATATTTTTTAATACCTTCTTTTATTATTTTTGGATAAAGATCGCTTCCTATTATTAAATCAATACGATCGCTTTTATTAAATTCAGGATCCGCCAACTTATAAGTATCCCAAACAGCGTCTTCAACTTCTATTGGTTCTTCTGGCAATAATTTTATTAGATGGGATATCACCAAAAATTCTCCTTTAACTTTATTTTTATTATTGAATCTCGATGATATTTCCATAAATACTTTTGAATTCGATGTAGCCATGTTTACATTAGATAGTCCTGATAGTTTGGTTTTGTATTTAATTTTCTTTAACAATAATGAATGAGCTATTTTTTCTGATACCATAGATACTTGTGAGCCTTGATCAATCAAAGCTCTCAATTCATGATTATCTCCATTTGAAGATTTCGTGCTGATTAATACAGTTGGGAGTAGAGTTATTTTCTTCTTGTCTTTTTTTATTATTGTGCAGCAGGTTTTCTCGTCTTTATTAATTTTCGTGTTGACTCTAACATTTTTTTGATTGTAATCCATGTGTAAAAGAGAATTATGAGCTTTATTACATTTTTTGCATCTGAACATAGAGTAGCATTTACTGCGATTATTATGACT